TAACAATCCGGCGTTTACAAGTGTATAATACAATTAATGGAGAGTCTCCTGAGTGAACACTTCCAACCTGCTAAATAACCTGAGAATACATGCATTAAAATACGTCAACAAAATTGTTGGTGAGTTCTACAGGTTTTGACACAAGGTATTTTTATAACCAAAAGTGTTTTATAAAATTTAGTTGGTTGACCAACTTTTATAAATATTTATTTTCCTGTCAAAAGTATAAAATGATTGATTTATAAAAATGTGTTTGGACTCGTTCATAAGTACCATTTGTTCAAATCCAAATGTACAAAAGTTGGAAAAATACATATAAGTAAGTCAAAACTTATATCAAAATTTATACGGTTCCCATGACGAAAATGTTTTTTATAAAAGGATTTTGAGTGCAATTGATATAAAATAAATTCATATCCCATCTTGTGAAAACATAAAATGGCCAAATTTACTATATACATATTGTACAAACGCTTGTATAGTTTATATGTAAAACTCATAAGTTTTCAAATTTATAAACTTTGTAAAATTCGTGTCGTGGCAATAATTAAATTTTATTTTACTTAATTTGGGAACTGACACTTAAACAGTGGGGCAAATCCCACCCACATACATATTGTGTTTTCGTACAAGAACAAAAGGGTTTATATAAATAACTTGTTTTATGCAAGTTAATAAATCTTGTCGAGTCGTGTCATGATATTATTTAAGTTTTATATGACTTAATTTTTGGTATTGACACTTATCGCTTTGAGTCACAAGCTATCCCACTAAATATAGTTTCTTTCAACTAGAATGAGTGAACATAAACCCCGTATAAATTCAATATCGATTCTATACGGTAACGAAACAAAACTGAGATTTTATAATGAAATCACAACCGAACTTGTGACACTGTACTTTATTATTGCACCGGAACCATAATAGGGCGTGCTAAATTCATTCACCCCGTTGTAACACCTGGTAATGTTCGATAATTCTAAGGTCAGCGCCAAAATTCATCTCGTCAGACGTAGTTGTAGCTAGCAACTCCAGGCGGGTGATCGTACCGTATAAGATCAATAATATGTCACTTACACCCGACGTTAGTCGTTCCCTCGATGATTAACAGTTATATATTTGAGAGTTTCTACTAAGTATTAAGATCTTAGCTTTCGTGAAACCCAAAATAGTTTATAATGGAAACTCAAAGGTATTGGATATGATATTCGGAATAGGTATGATAAACCTATATGGAATAGGTATGATGAACCTATATGGAATAAGTATGATAAACCTATATGGAACATATCGAATAGATATGATGAACCTATATGGAATAGGTATGATAAACCTATATGGAACATATGGAATAGGTATGATGAACCTATATGGAACATATGGAATAAGTATGATGAACCTATATGGAATAGGTATAATAAACCTATATGGAATAGGTATGATAAACCTATATGGAGTAGGTATCATAAACCTATATGGAATAGGTATGATAAACCTATATCTTCCATTCTAAATTCACTAGATATGTAAAATAATTCACCGTTTAGGAAAAAGATAACTGAAATTCTTATAATTTCAAGAATTTATCATACTAGATACGGTTTCGATGTCGTGTTAGCATAATCGCTAATTCTTGAATTTATCCAAGTTTGGATCGACTGTAAATCGACATTCCCCATATTTTATATAAATTATGCGAGAATATTTTTAATACATTTAATTTGGGATAAAGGTAAAGTCTTTAAATACAATACTCGAAAAGTATTTATTTCGTAAATAACGACTCTTAAGCCCTGAAGTAGATCATGTTATTTATTATAATAAAATCCATAACTTAGTAAATTGAGTTATATTTTTATAATTATATAAAAATATAGTAATACACTTTCCATTCGTTGTTACACAACCTTATATATTAAAAGTTAAATTTGATAATTTTAACTAATAATCATATAAAGAATTTAATCATTTCATCAATTATGACAATGTACTTTCGCTTTATATGCGAATAATAAATTTTGGTCATTTTTATACATTTCCGTGCTTCCATGAGATACTTTAACTTATACGTATACAATCATCATTCATGTCTTATAATATCAACATGTGTTATTATATCAATCTACTTATAATCTTAAAATTTTTCTCAATATTTATATTTATATTTCACGTAAAGTATAAATATATCATCTTTTAACAATCTATTTTAACTTAATAGATTTATTGGTGATTTATCAAATTTTTAGATTGCTATATCATAAACTTTTGACCAATAATAAAGTATGATGCTATTTTGTATATAAAACTTGAAAATCATCAAACTTTAATAGACACACATATATTCTCCCCCAAATATAAAAACTGTAAAAGAGGGGCCGTAGAAACTCACATTCGTTGCGTGATCTCGATCCCGATTCGGTTTTGGTGAAGCTTTTCCTGAATGCGTGCGAGGTCACCTTTCTTGGACTTTAAAACATTTACGGGTTCGTTTTGGAAATAATTTATCAAAAGAGAACAATTTTGGTCTTTTATAATTTATGGAGGGACTGGTTTTGGTCAAGTATTACAAATGCGGGGCTGTTTGGTCATTTTAACACAAATAGGGGCGGATTTGCTATATATTTCACAAAAGGGGCTGATTTGGATTAATTAATACCAATGGGGGCTATTCTTGTTAAGTAAACAAACATCACATAAAGGGTACAGATATTCATCTTCGTTCCTTCAACAGATCGGGATGGGGAAACAATGGAGGCCGAAATCAAAAGGGATCCGTCGATGGTTGATCAATTCACGAGAAAGAGCGAAGGGATCGCTCTTCGGTGACCCTATAAGGGTTTAATATGCGTTGTCGGCAGCGGCAAGGCCAGAGGAACAAAAGGGTTTATATAAATAACTTGTTTTATGCAAGTTAATAAATCTTGTCGAGTCGTGTCATGATATTACTTAAGTTTTATATGACTTAATTTTTGGTATTGACACTTATCGCTTTGAGTCACAAGCTATCCCACTAAGTATAGTTTCTTTCAACTAGAATGAGTGAACATAAACCCCGTATAAATTCAATATCGATTCTATACGATAACGAAACAAAACTGAGATTTTATAATGAAATCACAACCGAACTTGTGACACTGTACTTTATTATTGCACCGGAACCATAATAGGGCGTGCTAAATTCATTCACCCCGTTGTAACACCTGGTAATGTTCGATAATTCTAAGGTCAGCGCCAAAATTCATCTCGTCAGACGTAGTTGTAGCTAGCAACTCCAGGCGGGTGATCGTACCGTATAAGATCAATAATATGTCACTTACACCCGACGTTAGTCGTTCCCTCGATGATTAACAGTTATATATTTGAGAGTTTCTACTAAGTATTGAGATCTTAGCTTTCGTGAAACCCAGAATAGTTTATAATGGAAACTCAAAGGTATTGGATATGGTATTCGGAATAGGTATGATAAACCTATATGGAATAGGTATGATGAACCTATATGGAATAAGTATGATAAACCTATATGGAACATATGGAATAGATATGATGAACCTATATGGAATAGGTATGATAAACCTATATGGAACATATGGAATATGTATGATGAACCTATATGGAACATATGGAATAAGTATGATGAACCTATATGGAATAGGTATAATAAACCTATATGGAATATGTATAATAAACCTATATGGAATAGGTATGATAAACCTATATGGAGTAGGTATCATAAACCTATATGGAATAGGTATGATAAACCTATATCTTCCATTCTAAATTCACTAGATATGTAAAATAATTCACCGTTTAGGAAAAAGATAACTGAAATTCTTATAATTTCAAGAATTTATCATACTAGATACGGTTTCGATGTCGTGTTAGCATAATCGCTAATTCTTGAATTTATCCAAGTTTGGATTGACTGTAAATCGACATTCCCCATATTTTATATAAATTATGCGAGAATATTTTTAATACATTTAATTTGGGATAAAGGTAAAGTCTTTAAATACAATACTCGAAAAGTATTTATTTCGTAAATAACGACTCTTAAGCCCTGAAGTAGATCATGTTATTTATTATAATAAAATCCATAACTTAGTAAATTGAGTTATATTTTTATAATTATATAAAAATATAGTAATACACTTTCCATTCGTTGTTACACAACCTTATATATTAAAAGTTAAATTTGATAATTTTAACTAATAATCATATAAAGAATTTAATCATTTCATCAATTATGACAATGTACTTTCGCTTTATATGCGAATAATAAATTTTGGTCATTTTGATACCTTTCCGTGCTTCCATGAGATACTTTAACTTATACGTATACAATCATCATTCATGTCTTATAATATCAACATGTGTTATTATATCAATCTACTTATAATCTTAAAATTTTCTCAATATTTATATTTATATTTCACGTAAAGTATAAATATATCATCTTTTAACAATCTATTTTAACTTAATAGATTTATTGGTGATTTATCACATATTTAGATTGCTATATCATAAACTTTTGACCAATAATAAAGTATGATGCTATTTTGTATATAAAACTTGAAAATCATCAAACTTTAATAGACACGCATATATTCTCCCCCAAATATAAAAACTGTAAAAGAGGGGTCGTAGAAACTCACATTCGTTGCGTGATCTCGATCCCGATTCGGTTTTGGTGAAGCTTTTCCTGAATGCGTGCGAGGTCACCTTTCTTGGACTTTAAAACATTTACGGGTTCGTTTTGGAAATAATTTATCAAAAGAGAACAATTTTGGTCTTTTATAATTTATGGAGGGACTGGTTTTGGTCAAGTATTACAAATGCGGGGCTGTTTGGTCATTTTAACACAAATAGGGGCGGATTTGCTATATATTTCACAAAAGGGGCTGATTTGGATTAATTAATACCAATGGGGGCTATTCTTGTTAAGTAAACAAACATCACATAAAGGGTACAGATATTCATCTTCGTTCCTTCAACAGATCGGGATGGGGAAACAATGGAGGCCGAAATCAAAAGGGATCCGGCGATGGTTGATCAATTCACGAGAAAGAGCGGAGGGATCGCTCTTCGGTGACCCTATAAGGGTTTAATATGCGTTGTCGGCAGCGGCAAGGCCAGAGGAACGAAACAACAGCATCGGTCGATGTTTAGAGAGGTGTTGGGTAGTTCCGACTGACTGAAAAGAAGCATGACGAGGGTTTTCCGGTGGCGATTGGGATATCACGAGAGGGGCGCCGGCAGAAGGCTATCGCCGGCGTATTTATTCTTCTTCTGATCCGACCGGTCAGCAACACACGAAGAAGGAAGAAGGACTTCGGTCCTCTGCCTTTGTATGTTCGAGAAGAGGGACGCACGAGTGGAGGCGGCAGCTGGAGGCGATGACTGCCCTTTTCTTGGACGGGAAGAAGAAGAACACGGGTTGTTACCCTTTTCTTGGTAGTCACCGGTAATTCACCCACCACTGGCGGTTCTTGGCAGCTATCGACACAGGTACGGGTTCGTCTCTATCTGTTCCCTTCGTTTTGATTGTAGATCAATGGAGTTTAATCCATAAACTTAGGTGGTTGTTTGGGTGTGATTGTTTGATAGAAATCATTGGATGAACTTTGGGGTTTGGTTTTGGTGTTTAACAGGGAATGGAAGCAAGGATTCACTCTGTTGTGAATTTGATGTTTGATAGGAAAAGGAACAAAGAAGAACAAAGGGGGTTTGATTTCTGATGGCCGGAAAACTCCAATTTCGGTGGTGTCTTCTTGCATCGTGAGAGAGACATGGAGAGAATGGAGTGAATTGTTGTAGAAGGAAGAGTGCAAGGGAGGGTATGACAACTTGTTCCAGTTATTTGATCTAATGCAGATTTTTTAATAGACTTTTGTGTACGAAAAGATTTACGAGTGATTTTGAGGGTACAATGTATTATATTATGGGTTTGTATTCATACATGTGAATGTTTTTGTGTGTGAGTGATAGCCATCGAAATAGGGGGCAATGCTAAACAAAAATCCAATCAATTTTTGTACCGTGTAGATTTGGGTACTTTACTAGGTATTATTGTCTTAAATACCTACATTTATACACACAAGTATTATATATATTTTGTAGCTTGAATTCAATTATGAATACACATAACATGTAAGTGTTATTCATTTATTTATTTATTTATTATTTTTACTTCCTGTCATTTATTTTATAATGAATGGATATACATCTTCCAAAAATATGTTACACATAATCATTGTTCGTGACGTTTTCAAAAAGATATAAAAGAACACAAATTTCTACATATGGAATTTTGTGAGATATCGTTAAAGTTTCATTTCAATTGAGCTCTGAGTCATCGTTTCCAATTGTTTGGATTCGTTCTATGTTAAAAACATTATCAAACTAGAAATCAATTATTAGGTCCAAACCTAAGCATAAATGGGCTATCGCAAATATTAAGAATAATGACTTCATTTGTTCTTTAGAATGTTGGTAAACGTATAATAGTTTCCATTACAATTACATCTATGGTGGTTGACCGAAAACTTCTTGGTCTGATTTTTACCAATTGTTACAAAGAGGCGCAATCGAACCTTGCTGGACATGGTTCGTTCTATGATGTGTCAAGCTTCGTTACCAATCTCGATCTGGGGGTATGCCTTAGAGACTGCTGCCCATATCTTTAATCTTGTCCCAACTAAAAAGGTTTCCAAAACACTTCACGAGATGTGGACAGGGAAGGTTCCCTCGTTAGACCATATCAAGATTTGGGGTTGCGAGACTTGTGTGAGAAAAGAAACTCACGACAATCTCAAGCCTCGAAGTGAGCGACGTATTTTCATCGGCTACCTACAGAAATCCTTTGAATATCTCTTCTATAGACCGAGTGACAATGTTGTCTTCATTGCGAGGAGAGGAGTCTTTCGCGAGATAGAACTCATATGCCAGGAGAACAGTGGGAGACAAATTGACCTTGAAGAGATTCAAGAGTTAAGTGATGAAGGAACCTCAAACACTAGCACTCAACCCGAGGAGGAAACTCCTGTTGAACCAATTGACGAGTCCTTAACTCTGAGGCGTTCCAGTAGAGTTAGGAATGCACCCGAGTTTAATGGTTTCCATATTACTACTGAGGGTGATACATTTATCAGTGATAGTACACTGGTAAACCTGGATGAAACTAACAACTACAAGTAAGCCATGGCAGGCCCCGAGTCTGCTAAATGGAAAGAGGCTATGACCAGTGAGATTCAGTCCAAATATGACAATCAAGTTTGGAACTTGGTTGACAATGTACCGGGTCGTAAGACAGTCGGGTGAAATGGATCTTCAAGAAGAAGACCGACATGGATGGGAAAGTACACACTTATAAGACACGACTAGTTATGAAGGGATTTACTCAAACTCTTGGAGTTGACTATGATGAGACCTTCTGACCGGTGGCTAAAATTAAATCTATAAGGGTTATGCTAGCTATTGCTGCATTTCATGATTATGAAATATGGCAAATGAATGTCAAAACCGCTTTCCTTAATGGGAAGTTGGTTGAGGATGTTTACATGAATCAGCCAGAGGGTTTTGTCAATGCAAAGTACCCGTAAGCTTGAGAAATCAATTTATGGATTAAAGCAGGCATCTCGTAGATGGAATCTTTGTTTCGATGAGAAAGTCAAAGAGTTTTGATTTTCGAGAAGCGAGGATGAGTCTTGTGTATATGTCAAAGCTAGTGGGAGTATAATTAGCTTTCTGGTATTGTATGTGGATGACATATTGCTCATAGGAAATGACATCCCAACCTTGCAGGAGGTTAAGTCCTAGCTTGGGAAGTGTTTCGCTATGAAGGACCTCGGAGAAGTTGCTTAAATTCTAGGGATAAGGATATTGAGAAACAAGAGTAAAAGATTAACAGGACTTAGTCAAAACCTACTTGGAAAAAGTGTTGAAACGTTTCAACATGGAGGACTCCAAGAAAGGAGAATTACCTATCCAGAGCAATACCAAACTGAGTAAGACTCGGAGTCCTAGTACAGAGGCTGAAATAGCAGAAATGAGTCGAATACCATATGCATCTGCAGTTGGATCGATCATGTATGCTATGACATGTACTCGCCTTGATGTAGCCTTTTCTTTGAGCATGGCTAGTAGATTTCAAGGGAATCGTGGTAAGGCTCACTCGACTGCGGTAAAGAACATTCTTAAGTACTTGCGAAGGACTAAGGACTGGTTCCTTACCTTCGGTGGGAGTCATGACTTGAGAGTGACAGGGTACATTGACGCCAGCTTTCAGAACGACATAGATAATTTCCGCTCTCAGTCGGGCTATATATTTACCCTGAATGGAGGAGCAATAACTTGGAAAAGTTCCAAAAAGGAGACTGTAGCTGATTCAACGTGCGAATCATAATACATAGCATCAAGTGAAGCATCGAAGGAGGCAATATGGCTAAAGAACTTCATCAGAGACCTTGGAGTTGTACCAGCTGTAAAGGAGCCTGTGGAGATTTTCTGTGACAACGAAGGTGCGGTAGCCTTAGCCAAGGAACCAAGCGATCATGGCAGAAGAGAACCCAACAAATCCCCTTACAAAGGGACTGAGTAGGGTTAAGCACTTGCAGCACACTATGAGAATCAGGCTGAAGGACGATATTAGTTTTAATGATCAGATAGACATTTAGAAACTTGTAATAGCTAAAATGTAATTGACATTTGATGATTGAATAAAAGGAGTTTTATTTATAAGTAAAGTCACTGTCTTGTGTCAATTATTTACTATTGTTTCATTTTTGCATTTTTTGACTTCCAAAATGTCACACCCCCAAACCAGAACGGCGGAAACGTTCGGGGGCGGAGGACGTCATGTATAGTATCACAACAATGCATAATAGTAAACAAGCAACAACATCATCCATTGCATTAATAGTATATTTTTAATACAAGTGTGTTCTGTAGTTTATAAGACACCAAAAATGAACAATCAAAATAAAGACGAGTCTTGAAAGCTCCGTCTTCTCAAAACCTGGTCATCGGTACCTGTCTACTGGCGACCTGAGAATACAAGTTATTTTGAAAGCATAGATCAGCATTAAAGCTGGTGAGTTCATAAGTATTTTAGTGTCATTGTTTGTATAAGTTTGAAGAAAGTGTTTGTAAATGTTTGATGTAAAAGTTTGTGAGTGTTTGATGTAAATGTTTGTAAACTTCCTAGAAAATCCTTTATTTTCTACTAAAGTAGTCTTCTACCAAGATCCAACTGTTCTTTATGTTTGTTCTTTTGTAAAAGTGAGTATTTTCCCAAAGTATGACTATCATTACCAAAATATAGTTTTCATTACCGTTTATGTGAGAAGATCACAATGTGAATGAAATGGGAAAAATAAAGATGTACTGTAGTTTTATCTAAGTAACTACCAATGTACTAACTACCTTAAACTTGTTTGATTAATTAAGGTAAAATGTGATAAGATTGTAACCATACTTGATCGACTAGTATAAGACGACGTTCGACAAGTCGAAATGATATGACATTCGTCACCCGTAGACCTGCAGGTCCCACTGTAGCTAGCAGCAAGGTGTAGGATGGTCAGTCCCGTATAGATCTATACACAAATTCACGCTCTCCATCCAGGAAACTCTGGGTACAAAACGTTACGCAACAGTATATTTCCGAGCCATGAAGTAGTATCTCAAATTATTGTTATAGTATTCTTGTATTTGTATAGTATGTTCTAGTATAGTGTATGTTCTCTCTGTCTATTGTAGTATTTCTATCTGTTTCTCTTTATAGTGAGTATTGTCTCTCGTTTATAGTATGTTCTCTCGTGTATAGTTGTAGTATGTAATGTTTCTCGTTATAGTATGTTTCAACTGACTCATTTATGAACTGACTCTTTGTATGTTTCATTGTTCTAGAAATAGTAAGTAGTGACTTCCTAAAACTATACCTATTATAGTTTACTAGCAATGTTGTTTGTATGAATGAACATGTTTGTACACCTTTGCTACACAAAGGTATTGAACTGAAAGAAGAACTTTTTATATCTATACACATACACATGATATATAACTAAGATTCAAACGACCTTCGGACAAACAACTGATACCCTAAGTCCACAACCAAACAAGGAACAGGAATGATGAGGGAGTATCAGTCCTAAGTCCTTGCAATCCTACTTATATAACTATATCTATATAGAC